ATGTTTAGTCAATCTATTTAAATTGTCTATAGCAAATCTGTCTACCGAATTTATGATTTATTTATAAGTATTATTTCATATCGGCCATTTTTTGAACTCTACTCATGTACAATTTCGCATAGAAACTATCACACGACCAAAGATTTAAGTGCCATAGATAGTTTCATTTTTGTTCCTTTGTGTTTCCATGAATTTTGTTTGTGTTCTCGCTTTCTGCGAATTCTTTAACATTTCTGTTTTTACTTCTTCCAGATTAAATTCGTAAGTATTTTTCAAATTCCTTTTTTGAAAAATCTTCTGACTAGATTCTTTTATAAAATAAGGTTTATAGCTCTTAGCGATATCTTCTGCAATAGCATCGGATACATCATTAGTCGCGTGAGTTTGACGTGTTTCATTTCCGGATCTATCACTGTTTTTCAAATGATTTGGTATTACTGATTGTTGCAAATGCAATAACTGTGTATTGGTAACTTCGCAATCGATTTGCATCATAGTTATATGATTTGCGGGCGTTGAAAATGTTTCTGTAAACAGAAAAGAAGATATATGTCGTCAACTTTTAAAATTCGTTAATCCTTTCAGTTCTCACCATTTGTAGGTAGTGCAGGAAGAACCAACGACATTTTCGGTCTGCCCGTACTATTTTTTCTCGAAGCTGGTAAAAGCAAATGCTCTCCGCTGAACCAAACCACGTAAAATGTATCGTCTCTTCTGCCCAATGCTTCAAATAAAGATGCATGTTCTTTTAATGTCGGAGAAAAAACCTCCACTGCATTTGTAATGGTAGAACTTGCAGTTTTTCGAAGTATCTCAGATTTGCTTTTTCGCGGTAAATTGTGCTTATATTTAGTCTTTTTCTGTACTATATATGGTGATAGCAATCCTCCCAAAAATTTCTCGTCAAATTTTGAGGTTTTCGATGTAAACCAATTATCTTGATCGGACTCTCCACCGATCCATCGTCTTAATTCGTAATCCAAACGAATCGATTCGCTTTTATTTATATACATCGGACACATAGGTTGGAGTACTGATATATTTTTACGGAAATTTTTGTCCTCTTCTTGTTGAACTTGATCTTTAGGTGACCAAAGCAATGTTCTTCCATGTCTAATATATGGTGTATTGGTAGCAATGTTAACAGGCAACACATTTAAACGGTTATCTTTTGAGAGAACGTTGCTGTAAGACATGAAATTAAAAAAAAAATACTTAACAAATTCAATAATATAACTTTTTATAAATGTTAAATTTTCTAAACAGTCTCACCTAAACGTATTGACATTTAAGGATACNATGTTTAGTCAATCTATTTAAATTGTCTATAGCAAATCTGTCTACCGAATTTATGATTTATTTATAAGTATTATTTCATATCGGCCATTTTTTGAACTCTACTCATGTACAATTTCGCATAGAAACTATCACACGACCAAAGATTTAAGTGCCATAGATAGTTTCATTNATGTTTAGTCAATCTATTTAAATTGTCTATAGCAAATCTGTCTACCGAATTTATGATTTATTTATAAGTATTATTTCATATCGGCCATTTTTTGAACTCTACTCATGTACAATTTCGCATAGAAACTATCACACGACCAAAGATTTAAGTGCCATAGATAGTTTCATTTTTGTTCCTTTGTGTTTCCATGAATTTTGTTTGTGTTCTCGCTTTCTGCGAATTCTTTAACATTTCTGTTTTTACTTCTTCCAGATTAAATTCGTAAGTATTTTTCAAATTCCTTTTTTGAAAAATCTTCTGACTAGATTCTTTTATAAAATAAGGTTTATAGCTCTTAGCGATATCTTCTGCAATAGCATCGGATACATCATTAGTCGCGTGAGTTTGACGTGTTTCATTTCCGGATCTATCACTGTTTTTCAAATGATTTGGTATTACTGATTGTTGCAAATGCAATAACTGTGTATTGGTAACTTCGCAATCGATTTGCATCATAGTTATATGATTTGCGGGCGTTGAAAATGTTTCTGTAAACAGAAAAGAAGATATATGTCGTCAACTTTTAAAATTCGTTAATCCTTTCAGTTCTCACCATTTGTAGGTAGTGCAGGAAGAACCAACGACATTTTCGGTCTGCCCGTACTATTTTTTCTCGAAGCTGGTAAAAGCAAATGCTCTCCGCTGAACCAAACCACGTAAAATGTATCGTCTCTTCTGCCCAATGCTTCAAATAAAGATGCATGTTCTTTTAATGTCGGAGAAAAAACCTCCACTGCATTTGTAATGGTAGAACTTGCAGTTTTTCGAAGTATCTCAGATTTGCTTTTTCGCGGTAAATTGTGCTTATATTTAGTCTTTTTCTGTACTATATATGGTGATAGCAATCCTCCCAAAAATTTCTCGTCAAATTTTGAGGTTTTCGATGTAAACCAATTATCTTGATCGGACTCTCCACCGATCCATCGTCTTAATTCGTAATCCAAACGAATCGATTCGCTTTTATTTATATACATCGGACACATAGGTTGGAGTACTGATATATTTTTACGGAAATTTTTGTCCTCTTCTTGTTGAACTTGATCTTTAGGTGACCAAAGCAATGTTCTTCCATGTCTAATATATGGTGTATTGGTAGCAATGTTAACAGGCAACACATTTAAACGGTTATCTTTTGAGAGAACGTTGCTGTAAGACATGAAATTAAAAAAAAAATACTTAACAAATTCAATAATATAACTTTTTATAAATGTTAAATTTTCTAAACAGTCTCACCTAAACGTATTGACATTTAAGGATACCATAAAAGCCATACCCAAAAGAATAGCAACATTCTTTTTATTTGCATTGAGATTTATGCTCCCATATTTCTTATTAGTATTCGCTGTGTTCCCCAATGCAGAAAGTTTCTGTTTGAGGTTTGTATTCTCCTAATACAAACATAATTTAATTACAATAGTTTACTTAAAACTGTGTCTTTCTAAGACCAGGAGCTAAGTTTCCTTTTCCATTGCCGTTGCTCCACAAAACTAAATGAATCAACATATCTATTATCTTTAATTGTACTTCAACATAAATTTGTAATCCTATATTGGTGGACAGCATGATCTGGAGGTAAAAGGTTTTTATGCATTGAAAATGGAAACGTAAGCCTCTCGTCTCTTATTATTTAATTTCATTGTCACAGCAACTAGAGCACAGCAAACGGTACCAAATATTAAATAAAAATTTAGATACTAAACAGTACCAGATATTATTATAATTCTCACCATCTTTAACTGTTTATTTTCCTCTTGCAGTTTACAAATTTGTTTCTCCAGCGAAGATACATATTCTTTCTTTTTTTTTCGTGATAGACAAGCAGATTCCCTGTTTTTTATCATTCTCTGTTGTCTTTTCAGTGCTTTAATCTCATTTTCTTGTCGTCCAGTGAAATTAACATCTTGGATTTCATTTTTTATAACAATCGGAGCATAATTCGAATGTTCTGCTCTAATTAATATTGGCCTGCAACCAGATGTGTCATTCTTTAGAACTATTGAAGTACATCCAGCTGTTTCATTTCTCAAAATTAAAGATGCATCTGTAATAGCAGTATTTGATTCTGTTCCTGATACATACATATCTGCACTATTCGTAGGATTCACTTGTGCCGCGTTCGTTTCTGCTTTTATTTGGATTGGTGAAAATTGTACTGAATTTTCACTAACAAGATTATTTCCGTTGGCTGGTAATAAATGAGTCATAAGAGGGTACGATGTGCAGTTTTGTTTAACCTTTTGTGTGAATGTAAGTAAATTTTGTGTACTTAAGAAAATAGTATTTCGAGGCTGTTCTGGAAAATATAAAGCACAGAAATGTGTATTGTACAATTTAAGCACATTGTGCAACAAAATTATCTATATTATAATAATGTTTTACCATTGTTTGCAGGCTGTGTCTTTGGTTGAACTCTAATATGTTTGGTTGAATTGGCTTTGGAAAGAATCAATTTCGTAGATTTTCTTTCCTGACATTTAATGGGTGTAAATCTTAACTGCTTTGCAATACTTGCATTGAATACTGGCTCGGGTGACATTGACGGAGAAATATTTTGAGGTGGTGAAATCGGTGGTGTCTCTGGAGTCGACTGTAATCAATTAATGCAGGAGATATTTAACTAGAGGAAATAATCTAAACAATTAATATAGATACAGCAATTACTATACTTTAAATTCACAGAATGGAAGAACAGAGTCCGATTCTACTTGTAATTCAGATCTACTGGATTCTGAATGGCTTGATTCAGGTGATAATGGAAATTGTACATAAGGACTTATAGGTTCCAGCTTAATTTCTTCCATTTTTATATTGTTGGTTAAATTTAAATTTGTGACTAGAAACAAAATACTTTCAATAAATTTATAAAATGAATGTACAATCAGCAATGATTAAAGGTATACCAGAATTTTGTTGAGAACTATGGACATGGTAATCTTCTAAACATGATGTAGTTTCTCCTAAAGAAACATCATTTGTGATTTGATTATCAAAATCATTTTCTATGTGGAAAGGTATTTCATCTTCTAAGAACAGTGGAACACTTAATTCAGGATTTAAAGACTGAAATAAATCATCTGAGAAAGGTAAACAATCCCCATCTGTAAGAAAATATTCCATTTTACATTATGTACATGAAAATTATTAATGCATTATTAAGCGGGATTGTAATGCATTTTTGTATTATTATGATTCTTATTGCTTTTACAAATTATTACAAACATGGAAGTTGCATGGAAAGGATTAAAAGGATTAAATGTATTCAATTTAAAAAGATATGCTATACCCATTAATTCAAGATCTGGAAACATCTGAATTTCAGGTGCTGCAACACCATTCCACTGTGGATCCTGATTTATCAACATATTTCACCTTGTGTGAAATCCTTTTTATTCAAATAGAAATAATAACCTTCAATTCTAATAGCACGTCAGGTGCATGAATAATTTACTATTTTAGATAAAAGCTAAACAATCAATGTGTAGATATCTAATCGTAAAAGTAAGTTACAAGCAATTTTCGACGAAAATTACTGGATTTGTGAAAACACATATTAACTCAAATAAAATTGCAATCGTGTCGTCTCGACTTGCAAGGCCGAGGCCAACAACAAACAGTGAAATACGCCGGTCAAAATAGTTGTTCGCTCATCATACACTTGTTCTCGTTGTGCTGATCACACGATAATCACTGTGCATGTATTTGATATGTATTGTACGTGGAGTTTTTTCTTGTTTTCTAATACTTTTTGATATATGATATATCTTGACATGCTTTGAATACGATATGTATTAACAATTGTGAGTACATATCGTGTTTTTAACTGATACGTATACTAATTTTTTTTAAAGCTAACAACGTTGTCAAATTTAGTAGCGTCCACTATCGTCAGCTATCGTACTGAAGCATTTTCTACAGAGTCGGTAATTCAGAAGCGTAGATAGAAAAATGCGATGCAATATGTAAGTTTATTCACTGTTGATGACGCCATCTACAAGCACGAATTTCCAATGTATAAGGACAGAGCTGATGTCTCATTATGCCGTCAACTTTTTGGGGGGACTAATTTATGCAATTTAGGGGGACAGAGAGAGAGAGAGAGAGAGAGAGAGAAAGAGAGAGAGAGAGAGAGAGCTTCTCAAAAATCTATGAACTGCACAGATAGTTTATTAATAACTCGCTTCTCATCAACGATCTATGAATATTAGCAATTGAAGAACATAAAACGAACTTACAACTGAAAATAATATCGACGCATAACTTATGCACATAAAGCACTTTATTAGCTATAATCATTTCATTCTTTTCTGCTTCAATAAATGATTTCTTAAAGCAATTTGCTTTTCTTTAAATGAACGCTTTACTTTTCCTTTTACTTTATGCTTTAACATTTGAAAAGCTTTTGTTTTCTTCTTCTCACGATTTGTTTTACTGCAAAGCGGATTCTGTCGACCATCTTTGTAACCGAATCTTTCTCTTCCTTCTTGTCCTCTCTGAAAAATGAGTAATTAATTTGCAGTAATCTTTGACTAAAATTATTTTGTACTTATTAGAAAACAGTAAGTTATATTTGTCCATATGCTAGGTACTGTGAATCTCACCTTTACAGATTCAATGCGAGCTTGTTTGTCGTGTTTTCGTTTCTTATATATATTTTCGATATCTGATAATTTGACAAATTCGCCAGATTCGACATCGTTTGTATGTGAGCGTTTTACGCCACGTTTAGCGTATGTAATTTCTTGTTTTGCTAATGCCATATCTATCGTCTTAAAATCCTCGTCGGTTAATAAACGTTCAGTAGATATTAAAGATGCCTTCTCCTTTTTCTCAATCGTTAACATGTGTTTTTCTTCCGGTTTTGAATTTACTTTTTCCTGCTTTAATTTTTTTCTTTCTGTTCGTTTGATAGAATGCATTTTTCGATTTCTGATATTTCTAAGGTTACTGACATCCTTCTTTTCATTAGTTGTTTTATAACTTTTACTATTGTTTTCATTGTCATCGTTATCGCCATCATCTCTATTGTCACCGTCATCGTTATCGCCATCATCTTTCCTTTCATTTACATCGTCCTCGTCCTCATTCTCGCCCTCCATCTCGTCCTCGTCATCGTCCACGCCATCGTTTTCGTCATCATTATCTTCACTGTGATTTACATCGATCCAATCATCGTTACTATCCTGCAATAACAGTGTTTACATCCAGAGAGTTATATTAACTGTTAACGATATATATACTATACTTACGTCAGTATCGCTATCTATTACAAAACTACTTGGATCTTTATCAGGATTATCATTTAATAAAACTTCAGCACCGGGAACAAAATCATTGGCAGGTACATGTCCATACTTCGCAACTTCCAAAGCCATAATTGCTTCTGTTGGTCTTCCTCTGTCCTTTTTATGTAATAAATCTGGCATTTTGGTTCTAAATAAACCAATCAACGAACGTGCAGCCATCATCACGCTACGTTCTCTGTAATGTTTATACCGTGCTAAATCTTGCAATAAATCTGAATTCATAACCAGAGGACACCGTATACATATTTCTCTTATTGCATTCAACCTGCAGAGTATAATTTGGTAAATTAATTATACACTTATTATGAGAATAACTATATTTTGACAAGATTGACGAATTGCATACATACCCAATGGCCATAACATCGGCTGAATTTCGTTCCGTAACAAAATTATTTGCTAATGTTTTCAAAATGGGCTCTAGTACATCAGGTGGTACAAGTTCATGACAAGACTGGGCGACAAATTGTAAAAGTTTCGTTACCTCTAAGATGATTAAAGATTATAAAACATCTTTTTTCTACTTAGTTGAAACATAAAAATAATTTTTAAAGTTTATCTAAAAATCTTCAATCAATGAAACTAATTTACCTCTTTGATGTGGTTGCAAAAATCTTTGGAGATAGGGATAAAAATTTAGTAAAAATAAATTATGCAGACCGATAAGCCTTGAGATAACATCCAAAGTTAACAGCTTAATTTCAAATCTATCATTGTTTTTTTCTAGCTGTTTAAATAATTTTTCTGCAAAATCTTGTGGATCGTGAAGTAAATGTAATGCTGAAAAATTATATGCTGGTGCTTTCGATGTCTTCTTCTTAGATTTCTAAAGTATTTTAAGATGTACAATCGTCACAAGTAGTGTAGAATAATATAAATGACAAGTGTTTCTAGATTCTGCCCAACTTACCGCTAACAACTGCTTTGCTTTAATTAATTGTTTCGCACGTTTCTTTGTTTTCTTGTTTACTTTATTGGCCATCATAATTTCTTTAACATTTGGTTCACTATCACTATCGCTATCGTTATTTTCAAGTTTTTCCTCATTGGATCCTAGGAAAAACTTTAAACAAGCGACCATAACTTTTGGCGTTTTGGCAGAACACCCTGCTGCCAAAACATTTACAGTTTTTGCATCGTTCCAGATATTTTTCTTGTATAATTCTATCATAATATCAGCAGACATCTTGGCAGCTCTGACATTAGAGTCTTTCAACATTGAAAACATAAAATTTTGCAAAGTTGTGTTAATTTTCGTATTTTTTTGCTTAATATTAATATTTTTAATATCAGCTATAATGTGTGTTTCGAGAAATTCCCTTAAATTTTTATCTTGACATCTTAAAAGTTGAAAAAATAGTCTGAGAAGTACAGTTGGTTCCAAAAGGGATTTATTACGAAGTTGAATTAAAGCTTTGCAAAACGTCTACAAAAATAAAGTTATTGATTAATAGAAAAATTGTAGAAAAATTTAACGTAATAGACTAAACTTTACTAAACACTCACTAATCGCATTTCATTGTCAAGTACTGTATTGTACGTTTGTAGTACATCAATGATTTCTTGAGGAAACAATTCTAGATCATTTGGGTAACAATGGGCCACCTGCGAAAAAGACGTAACATATTTATAAACTGTAACTCTTTATTCACTAAATATCAATCATTGGATACAAAAAAAAATGTTTGCTCGCTATCGCATTGTTCATACAATTATATGTTTCATGAAATGTAATGTTTTCAATGTATGAGATCATACAAATAGTTCTGAATGGTAAATCCAACAGTCTTGGCAATCACAAGAATGAAGTCATAGGACACGCAACACTTAAGTTGTAATTCTTCCAAACTATAACTTCCCACAAAACTTAATAAGCCAAGTTGACACATAGATGGAATTTGTGCAAGTAAACTGGCATTTATATCTACTTTCTCATCAAGAATTGCGCAAAAGATTGCAAGCATTCTAGAAACTGGAAAATTATGAGGACCACAGTGAACATTTAATTTGTTTGGTTTTGTTTTCGTAATTCTCTTTTTTCTTTTTCCAATCTTCTGCTTTATGAACAGATGTTTGTCTTCTTTAGCAGGATTGTATGATGCAAGATACGAAGCGATTAACATATATTTCGCATAATATGGTAACTCAAAGCTTAATGCCAATTTTGTTGTTGATTCGATTTCATTGGAAAACTGACTGTGTTTGGCAAAATCTTCAGATGTAACTCGCAGATAAATAACTTCTAAATTCGACTTGAAAACTGCAGAAATATTTCTCCACAACACAGCAGTATCGTCTTTCTTAGATTTGTCTATGTTAATAGGTTCAATATATTTCAAAAAATTAATCTTAGCCATGTAACGAAGCTCATTCAAATCTCGACAGAATCGTAGAAACACAGAGAGAAATAAATTTAAATAGTTTTTGTAAAATGCATCCTCGTAATTATGTGGTTTGTATGTAAGTAATATTTCAGCAAACTCGTGTCGCGTATATTGAGGGAAATGTATTTTAATCGGTTCGTACATGCCGACTTTCGTACGGAATTTTTCCCATACTATATTGCTTATAAATATTACACAAACATTAACATTCGATAATTCTTTCAGTCTTGACAATGCAGGTAGCAAACTAGAATCGATATCTCTCAATTTCTCAGCTTTGTCAAAGACAAGTACAATCGGTCGATTGTCATTTATTGAAATATCTCTAAGACCTATTACAAAATCAATGAAGTTATCGCACCTGTGGTACAGTTTGGTATTAACTGGAAATTCATTTCTGTTTAAAGATAAATCACTTAAAATGTAATCGAATATATGTTTGCGATTTATATGTTCAATACAATTAATTATAGAAGTATTATACTTGAAAAATGAAAGTATAGTTGTCACTACTAAAGACTTTCCTGTTGCTACATGACCACACATAAATATACTGTGAGGCATAGGTTCATCCCAATTGCCAATTAGAGAATATAATTGCTTTAAAATGTTATTTCGACATACAATTTTATCCCGAAGATACTCCAAGTACTGCTCCATGATTACTATATTTCAAAAGTTTTTAACAACTACTGATTGTTATAAAGATACTATTTACCAAGACTTTCTATATAGATTGTTTACCTATAAAACAAAAGCTTTTCTACTACAATCTTTTGATGATAATTTAAATAATTGATAAAAGGTTCACCTGTGCCAAAAAGATGACTATTTCATCAAGACTCTTATTAAATTTATTAGGTGTCAGATGAAACACTTCCAAAGTAGACTTATAATATTGATGCTGTTGAAGAAACTGTAAAAAACGTACATATAATAATGATTACAATTTCAAATAAATGATCATGTTAATGATGTCTGTGTTATGAATAAACTTACTTCCTCCTTGTAAGATTCTGGATCACGTTTAATAAGATTTTGTAATTGTGGAAGGTTCTCCGGTAATTGATTGTTATGTCTTACCATTTTTTTTACCTACATTAACAAATTAAGAAAACGTTTTTCAGTGAACGATAATAAAATATGCATATCTAGATTTAAGGTAATATGCAAATATATACAAGCAAGATAACCTATACAAC